CTGAAAAGCCTCCGAGACAGCCATGGCCTACATCCGTACGCACCTCAAAGTGCTCACAACCAGAGACACAAAGATATGGGGGAATTCAAAGCATCTAAACACAGCAGCTTAAAATACTTCTGTGCATCTGCTTTTGAGCCTTTCAAAAATGAGTAATCTGCACCTCTGTTTTCCCAAAGCAGATCACTGGGGTCTGTGAGCCACGGGAGGAGGATAAGCACCACCCCAGCTCCCCGGGAAAGGCAGCACAGCTCCAGCCCCCACGGAAACTTCCTTATTACCCCAACTGCCAACAAAGGAATCAAATTATTGCAAGGCAAGGGGGCAAGTAAACTGCCAGGGAGGCAAAAAGCTGCTAGCCATTAGTGTGACAGGCTCCAGCTTCAAACCCCTGCCTGCTGTGACACATGCACAGGAGCTGTCGGGCACTGCCCGGCTTCAGCACCTTCATACCAAAAATTACCTTTATTCAGAGTAAATGCTTAACTCTGCTAAGTCACAGGAGGGGCCAAGTAACAGCACAGTAACAACTGCAGTGTCTTGCAAGAGACAGAATGGAAGCACAACCGGGGTTCAGTAGTGGATCTCCTGTAAATTCCTACTGCCTAATGCTTTCCTGGAAATCCAAGTACTGTTGGACAGCAGTGGAGACCTCTGTTACCTCCAACAGCCTACACAAAACTGTGTTTAATCTTTTATAGAAACTTAAGATCCAACAATCTGTCTGCATTCCATGTTCTTCACAATCCAACCAGCGCAATAGCCTGCATTTTCTTCATTGTAACTGCCAATAAAGGCAGAAATCACTGATTTGCCTTGTCAAACCAGAGACAACAAAACCAAGCTGAGAACATATGTCACAAAATGAGTAGGATTTATCTTATGTTCACTAATTTAAGGACACCCTGACTGTGAGGTCCAAGTTTCTCCCATCTTTCCTGGTACATTCAACTCCATGTGTGAGCACTCCAGTACAAGTCTCTTACCAACACTCCTTGTCCTCTGCAAACAATCCCATTTCAGCTTTCCCCATCTCATCCTCACACCTTCCTCCCCACTCCCACCACACTGGACCATTGTCACTATATTCCCCATACAGAAAACATTGTATTTTCAAGGCCTTCTCACAAAGGATATGGGAATGAACCAAGTATTTGTGCAAGAAAAAACCTGCATACACAAGATGGGAACTTACCACCTGCTTACAAAGAAAGACCACAAGCCAGTGCACTGCCTGCTTGGTGCCTTAAAAAATACCAATCATCCACATATGAGTCTGTTCTCTACCCAATAAATAAACTGCCTTTATTCTCAGCCTCAGTGTGATCAAACTGAAACTCCAGATTATGCATTTTTCTACATCCACTTTTTGCATTACAAATCAGCTTGCAAATAAAGAATAACTGTTCACTGGAATTTTAGACTGCATGTAATTTCTTCTCTAGCAAATGTTTCACCCATTACTTATTTGGTATTGTTAGACACAGCCAGCCAGTGCAATTTTTTTTCAGAGAACTCCCAACCACTACCATATCCCAAATCCTCCCTACTGCACTTCTCAATACGTCATCCAATTAAGCACAAACTTGGCATTAGAGCAGAGTGACCGAAGCACGCACTGACTCTGCCACATTTATGATGGGCATTATTTCATTCCAGCAACAGAACACGGGATAGAAACGCTCTCAGAGATTCATTCCCAAGGACCAGGACTCAAGGAATCCTATGAAAGACAAGTTCTTGCGCCAGAAGTACATCAAGGGCCTTTCTTCTGGTATGTTACGTGTGGTTAGTGCCCAGGGACATCACCCTGACCACCACAAGCTGCCAAAGCTTTCCTGCAGCAGGGGAGAAGTGACTGCACTAAGATCTTGGCAGCAGTGCCCTGGCTTTGCCATCCCTCCCTTCTCTGAATTGCATCTTCCTGCAGGAACACCCAGCTGCTTTCACCACACCGCTCCGAGCAGGTGAGGGGAGCAGAAACTGAGTACAGCAGCTGGAGACTCTTCTCCACATGCACATTCAGCTCCCACTACAAACAGAAAACCACTGGCTACTTTTAGGACAAACAATTCCACAATGACCTGCACAGATACACAAAATTAAACACTCAGATCTGATCACTAATTCCACTTCTGATAAAGCATATGAAATCCCTCACAGATCAGCTTGTGCTCTGGTACCATCAGACCAAAAGATGCCAACAACTCCACCTGTTTCTAATGCAGTAACAGAAGTACATCAGTATTTAAAAGCTATTCATTACAACTTAGTTTTTCCAGATTTTGTTATAGATTTTATAAGATCAATGGTTTACTTTAAACAATTAAGTCACAGCCTGCACAGAACTACTACTCCATCCTTACTTCAATCATATATGATGCAATACCAGGATGAGATTTTTAAAAAACAAAAACATTAGCAAGATTTGCCTTTAGATTTTTACTCTCCAGCTTGATGGTAGCAAATTCTGCTATTCTTCTCTAAAGCAATAAGAAGCTGTACTTTTTACTGAGCCTGTCCTGAAAAGCTACAATGATATTTTGAGAACTTGTGTTTATTGTCAAAGTAACTCCAGATAGTTTAAGCTCTCAAAGGGTATTAACTTCTTCCATTTGTCCTCACATCCAACTCAGAGCTGTGGCTCAAGCTAGACTTACTCGTGCTGGTCAGAGAGACCAGCTGCCTCCTCTGGTACTGCTATCTACACACATATTCAGAAATATTAAGCAAGCTGTCAAGGAGAGCTGCGTGTTGTGCCCACGGGAACACGACGCTCCCTTTCCTGCTCTCCAGCTAAAGGTTGTTTTTTAGAGTGAAGGTGATGGTGACACCAAAAACTACAAACAAACCAGGACCACGGAACAGCAGGTTACCTTCACGCTGCTGAACTGATTCCAATCACACAACTGCTTCCAAACGGGACGTGCAGATTTAACTCGAGGGCAGCAGCAGTTCTCCAGCGATTTCATCTGCATTTACTGCCACAATATTTGCTGTTTGCAAGGGTCTTTTTCTCTGAGCGCTGCAACTCCCTCCCCATCAAACATGGGTCCATCTACCAGCACACAGCAAACTGAGGCAGCAATGCCATGCCAATCCCACAGTTTCTTTAGGAATCATGCCAGCCTTTACTATAGAAAAGGGTTAATGTTCAGCTGCGTGCCTCGCAGGTACAGTCTCCAGTGAAGAGCCCCGTTTGATACCTGTAGGAAGCTGCCATTTTTGCATCTCATATTCCATTTGTGAACGGACCTTTTTGTTCTTTAATCCAAGTTCTGAATTATTTAATCCTGTCTCCAACACTTGAAACATCTTTCCCTATAAACAAGGGGTTATTTAGCGAAAGGAAATAAATAATTTAAAAAGTCAGACCCTAAAGTGTTCCTGGCTCTGTTTTTAATTAATATTGAGACAATCTGGAGAAACCTGCTGCTTAATATTACAAGGCAGGTCGAAGCTCATCAACAGTTAAACGTCTCCTTCTAACAGAAGGTGGAAGAGGAAGTCGGGAGCAGCCGGGTACCCGGCGCTCGCTGCCAGCGATCTGGGACTGCCCAGTCCCAGCTCCTCACAACTTTCTCATGCACAGAGAGCTTCAAAGCCCTCACACCCTGAGCTACACGAGCTGGAGTTCACAGGGCTCAGGTGGAATTGTGTAAAGCATAAATCCTTCAGGCTTTTGCGCTGGAACAGAGCGTACGCGGAAGTATTTTTATTTTCTACAATTCCACGCTCGAAATACGTCAGTGCGAGTGAAGGACGGCGACGGAGGGAGGCATGGACAGCTCTGTGGGACTGAACTTCATCCCCAGGAATGATAGTTTTTATAGCACATTGCTTCATCTGCAAGTGGGAGTAAATATTACACTACCTCTTCGTGCAGATGGGTGGGTAAAGAAAAAAAAAAATAAAAATAAAAAGCTAATTTGAAACAAATTAACTATTCTGCATAGGGAGGAAGGTGCTCTCTCCCTGCCAGGTCACTCCAGGGCTCTCTGCAGACAGAGTGTATGCAAAGTTAACAAACTCCGTGCTGCTCACAGCCTGCCTGGTGAACCTGCCAACAGGTGAACAGCCTCAATCCGCAGCACGGATAAATAATCACCAGTCCTCAAAAGCAGGTAATGAATATTGTTCAAACAACTCTAAGCTGGCGTTACCAGAATGCTTCAAAGGAGAAGCTACAAGCTGTTCAAGTCAGACTGTCACATTTAGTCTGCAAAAACGAGATTAAGGTTTGTACAGTGATACTCCACAACAGGTTTTACAGTATGCACAGAAATTAAATTATGATAAAAGTGAGCTATTTTTTACTAAAAACAGAATAGAACAATCTATCAAAATGCCATTTGGCTGTGTTCATTACATTTTAGAATTTAATTTACATGATAGATACTTTAGCATAATATGTTTTAATCAATAAGCATTTCTGAAGGCTTTATTTTTATAGGCAATATTTAGACTTGTTCACCGTTAAATGTAACGCCGTGGTAGCGATGTTCAGAGCGTTTATTTTCCTACGCTAAGCAAGTACAGCCACATGTACACAGAGGCAAAAGCAAAAGTCCACAATTAGAGATGTCAGACCTTGTTTAACTACGTCTTAATTTAATCCATTTTATTTTATACAATTCTACATCTGGATCTCATTTTCTGTATTCCTGTAGGTATTCCGGGTCACTATTAAGAACCCTTTCAAGTTAGCAAAGTTCAGCCAAGTCTACCTTAATCCAAAACCTTTAAAAGAAACAATAAAACGCGAAAGGGGGTGGAAGACGACAGAGAAACCTAAAACAAAACGCTACTTTACCCCACCTCCTAATGCACCTGAAAAGTCGGAAGGGACCGGCCTCCCAGCACAGATCCCACGCAGCACCTCCCGTTTCGGGGGCTGCTGGGGTGGGAGTTTTAGCATCGCTCCCGCACGCCCGGCCGAGGGGAAGGGAGGGCGGCAGGAGCCGGGTCCCGCTGCCGGCGCCCCGCCAGCATCCCCTCACCTCCAGCGGGAATGCGGCTCTGCCCAGCATCAGCGCACCATCCCTCCGCCTGCCGCAGCCTCCGGCCGGCTCCACCGCCGCCTCCACGGGGGCCAGGGTGGGCAGCCGCCGAGCTTTCGAGCCAATTTATTTAAACGGGAGGCAGCGGCGGGTTTGGAGAGGCAGGGCAGCGCCTTCCTGCGCCAATCAACTGGGAGACACGCGTGTTGCAATCCCATTCACGGCGGGAGCAGCACCGATACAGCGCCTGACAACCCCAGCGGCCCGCCCCGGCCTTATCTCTAGCTCGGCAACTCAATTAAACCGTGG